TCCAGGGCCTTTCTCTCCTTTAATGATGTGTTGGTTTTATAAAATTGTTACCATTTTATTCTGAAGTGCTATGACCCTTAGCTGGGAGACTGAAAAACATATTGTGACATTTCTGATAGACTTTAGTACACTAAAACCAAGTGATTCTGCTGAAAAGTTTAGACAGCTTATTTAGACTTTATCTAAGTGAGCTGTAGGTTTTCTGGCAGGAGATTGTTTTATGCTTCCATGAAAATATAATTATGGGTCATGCTACCACTTAATACTCTTATTTTTAAAATTTTTATTGAAGATTTGTTTACTTTTGTTGGATTGGTAGATTTACAAAGAGAAGGAGAGACAGAAAGATCGTGCATTCACTGGTTCATTCCCCAAATGACAACAATGGATAGATCTGAGGCCAGGAGCTTCTTCTGGGTCTCCCACGCGGGTGCAGGGTCCCAAGGCTTTGGGCCGTCCTCGACTGCTTTTCCAGGCCACAAGCAGGGAGCTGGATGGGAAGTGGAGCTGCCAGGACTAGAACCGGTGCCCATATGGGATCCCGACGCATTCAAGGCGAGCACTTTAGCCACTAGGCCACGCCGCTGGACCCTGCTGGAGTTACTTTGAGAGCTGTTCTTACATTAGGAGATGAGTCCTCTAGCCACTGTCTTATATTTGAGTCTATCTTTGCCCAAAGCAGGTGCTGTTAAAAGCACGACTTCCAGCATTGAAATTCTTGTGTTTTGCGCACCGTGCATGGTGCCCTACCTGCCTGCCTCCTGTTAAACAACTGCGCTGATGAAGCCGCAGGTAGAGTCCCTGTCACTCCTATGAAAACCTGCCCCTGTGGTTAGGAAATGCATGATCTGCACTGACTTTATGTTATCAGGACTGACTGTGCTCTGGTCTAGAACGGAGAAACACTGCGGCTCGGCTCTGGACAGCCCAAGTTAACCGTCACAGTGCTCAGAAATGTTATTTATAACTGAGGAACATCTCCGTCCGTTTCCTGTCAGTTCTTGACATGTGTGTCCGTCCCCACCTACCTCTTCACTTGTCCCTGGTCCTGATCGTTAGTCCTGGAGGGAGAGAGCAGCGGCCAGCTGCGGGGAGATGGTGCTGTGACAGGGCAGCTGTGTGCCTTTGTAGGGTGCCGTGGCCCAGAGGTCTGAGGAGCCGGTGGGAAACTCCAGGCCCTTCGGCAGCACCTTCTGGATGCCTTAAGTCTGTGAGTATTAATGTTGGGTTTAAAATGAATGCACTTGGCGGTAGGGCTGGGGAGGGAAAAGGCAGTTTTGTTTAATTTAAGGGATTTTTGCATTTTGAAGGAAACATGAGATATTTCCTGCTCTTGGCTGTATCTGAGGTGAGGACATTGGGCCTGTAAGGTTGCCACATGTCCTGAAGTGCAGAGAAGCAGGAACAGTCGTTTCCTCACTCGCATGCCCGTGTTTTTCGGAGAGGGCTTGTCAGAGCCTCTCCTGGTGAGCTTGTTGAGCCTTTTTCCCATCTTGGTCTTCCCGTCTTGGTTTTTTCAGGCTGGAGCCCACCTCCACCCCTGGGTAGCGTGGTCCCAGTGCCGTAGCCCCCTCAGTTCTCTGCTTGGCCTGCATCTTGCCCTCCTCCTGGCCTGGGTGATGAGCGCAGGGGCCAGGTCAGCAGATAGACAGCTGCTGTCATCGGTTTCTGGCTTACTTCTCACTACCCAATCTCTGACTCATCGATTTGTCTGGTGTCTCCTTAGAGTTAGGAGCCAGATCAAAGGAATTTGAGATCGTCTGTGTGTCTCCATCATCTTCTCCACCAGTCCCCTTTGTTTCCCTCTGGATGAGGCAGACTGGCAAAACCATGAACCACAATTTTAGCTCAGGTCAGTGCGAGAGTAAGTACAGATAAGACTCAGACAGTCTACTCTTTGGCCAGGGGGAGGGGGTCCTTCACCTCTCTGATTACTGCACGCATTGCTTCTGACAATACTAAAGAACCCTGCTCTGCTATTTGCAACGTAAAAACTAAGGTGCTTTGCCTCATATTTGTGGGGCTGAAGCAGATGGAGCTCTGACTCACCGGAGTGGCAGGGTGAAGCCGGGCCGGAAAAGAGGGATGTGTGCGTGACATTGTGGAAGAGAATTTGGGCGTGTCACACTTGAAAGTGTTTGTCTTAATGTTTTCCAACACTTTACAATATCCACGCTTTTACGTTTTAGGGATATTCCCATGCTTACAGGTTCATAGTAACAGATGGGAAAGATTGAGATTCTTTTTTTTTAATTTAAGATTTATGTATTTTTATTGGAAAGTCAGATCCATAGAGATGAGGAAAGACAGATCTTCCATGTGCTGGTTCACTCCCCAAGTGGCAGCAGTAGCGTGAACTGAGCTGATCTGAAGCCAGGAACCGGGAGCTTCCTTCGGATCCTTGACATGGGCACAGGGTCCCATGGCTTTGGGCCGTCCTCGGCTGCTTTCTCAGGCCACAAGCAGGGAGCTGGATGGGAAGTGGAGCAGCCTGGACACGAACCTGCATCCATATGGGATCGTGCCTCATGTGAGGCGAGGACTTTAGCTGCTAGGCTACCACAGCAGACTCAAATTGGGATTCTTTGAAAACTACTTGCAAGATCCATTGTAAGTTAAAGTCATGTTTTATCTCGCCTCATTGAGAGCCTGTGTTCCAGGCACAGGGTTTCGCGGTGCCAGGTCCTACGTGCCCTGCCTACAGGCCTGTCACCCTCTGGTTCCTCTCCTCCTCTTCTTTCTGTTGCCCCATCTTTGCTGCTCCGCACACTGTGCTGCTGTGACAGGCGCTTTGTATTGGCTCTGCCTTCAGTCGGTGTGGAACCCCCTGGCTTGCCGCTCCACGCTGCAGCTCTTTGTTGAAGTGTTACTTTCTGAATTGGATCTTCTCTTTTGTCTTCATAGTGCTTGTCATTTGGCAAAGCACATGGCTTAGATATTTGTTGGTTATCTCTCCCTGCTAGACTGGGAATGACTTGTTTTCTGTTTGTGTAGAGGTACCTGACACACAGCCAGCCCTTAACAACTCTGGAAAACATTGCTGACCCTGAGCTTTGCAGTGCGCTGTAGGCGCTCGTGTCCCGTTGTACGGGGCGCCCTCAATGACAGGGCTCTGTCGGGCGGTGGGGCCTGCAGAGTGAAACTCCCCGGCCTGCCCTAGCGCGTTGGCACTGCTGTCACCTCACGCATGTGCATGACACTGCGGCAGAATGCGGAGTTAGGTATGAAAATGCACCTGCATGTATCTAGCATCTTTTCAGCTTTCAGTTCCACTGTGAGTGCAGTCCTCAGCAGGGAGTGTGAGGCGTGTGTGCTGTGCTCAAGGGAATGGCTTCGGAACCCCAGTTTCCTTGCCCTGCCATTAAGCAGCTTTGTGACATCGGGTAAATTATTTTACTTCTCTGTGTTACTGGTTTATTCTTAAAATGATGATAACAGATCGTACCCACCTGAAGAACGTGTTGTGGATGGAGTTAACCCGTGTTGAATGTGCATAGTGGTTCTTGGCATGTAGCAGTGTGTGTTTTTCGTCATCGTTGTTGGAAGTTTTAATACTGCTAGATTGAGAGTTTTTTAATTGCTTTGTGGGTATTCTGACATCTCGTCATAATCCTTTTGAAGTATGACAACTCATAAAAATTTAAAAAAATCTATATTTTCTGTAATGTTGAAATGCTTCTGGGAATTTGTTCTAAGAAAGCCATAAAAGATAAACTTTTTATGTAGAGATGTCCAAAGCAGCATGATTTGTGATGGTAAAGACAGAAACAAATGGGAAGAGCTTGGATTTTAAAGCTGTGTGTTAGACTTTCATCTGCTTGTGTACAGGCAGAGTGACACACACACACTACACCTGGCTGGCTGCATCCCCCACAGGGCCCCAGCCGGGGGCCTGCTACTCCTCCAGGTCTCACAGGGGGTGGCAGGGCTCAAGCACTGGAGCCATCATCCGTTGCCTCCCAGGAGCACGCTAGCAGGAAGCTGGGTCAGAAGTGGGGTAGCTTGCACTTAACCCAGGCACCCCAAGCTGTGATGCAAGTGTCCCAGGTAGCGGCTCAGCATTTTGGACCACAACAGCTGTTCCTCAACCAGCGTTGTGAAAAATATATTTATTTATTTTTTTTGGAAAGGCAGATTTACCAAGACAAGGAGAAACAGAGAAAAATCCTCCATCTGCTGATTCATTTTCCAAGCGGCTGGAAAATGGTTGTAGCTGAGCCAATCCAAAGCCAGGAGCTTCTTCTGAGTCTCCCACATGTGTGCAGGGTCCCAAGGACTTGGGGCATTCTCTGCTGCTCCTCCAGGCCACAAACAGAGAAGTGGAGCATCTAGGACATGAATCAGGTGTTCATATGGGATCTTGGCACTTGGAAGAAGAGGATTAGCCTGTTGAGCCACTGCACCAGCCCCTCAGCCTGAATTTTAATAAAGCAAGAATTCAATAAATAAATAAATAAAGATTGGTGGCTGGTGGGGCACATGGTGGCATAGTAGATTAAGCTTCTTCTACCTGCAGTACTAGCATTCATGTGAGTGCCAGTTCGCCAGTTCGAGTCCTGGCTGCTCCACTTCTGATCTAGCTCTCTGCTTAAGGCTTGGGAAAGCAGTGAAAGATTGTGAAAGCATCTGAATGCTTGGCACCCATGTAGGAGACCAGAAGGAGGTCCTGGCTCCTGGCATCAGAATGGCCCAGCTCTGGCCATTGTAGCCATTTAGGGAGTGAACCAGCAGATGGAAGATCTCTCTCTTTCTCTGTATCTTCTCTCTCCTCTCTACATAGCTCTGCTTTTCAGGTAAAAATAACTTTTTAGAAGATTGACTAAATAAAATGTCCTCAGATGACTGAATGCTAGTAATGTTGTTATAGATCATGGAAGAATGTTTTCTGTTTATCCATGTGATTTTAGGAGAATGGCTCTCGCGCTACATGCCGGGATATTCATAGCTATTTGGATAATGAAGTCATAGGGAAGTATTTTTTCCTTTGGATTTCCTATGTCTTTTTGATTTTATTGATGAGCATTTTGTCTCAGATGAAACTCAAATGGTGTATGTGTACACGCTTGTGTTCTAGAGTTAAAAGGGAGAAAATGTTGAGGCCCAGCAGCTCGGGCGAGGGGTTTGAGTGATGACTGGGGACCCCTGCTGCCAGAGCCCATGCTCCCCACCTCCCCACCCCCAGGCAGGCACTGTGCAGTAAGGCACGCCCTCTGACTCATCGTGCTGCTGTAAATCCCTTTTACATTTCTGCCTTTGTTTCTGTTTTGTAAGATTTATTGAAATTTATCTTTGCAGTGTTTGTGTTGGGCCGTGTTCTTGGCAGAGCTGTAGCCGCTGCCTATGGACACTTACTCTCAGTGTGTGGAATCTTCCAGAAGTTTTTATAGAAGAAAACAGATACTTTTGTTTTTGTTTTTGGTGGAAAAGAATGATCTGACCTCTCTCAGGCACAAAATGGTTACACTAGTGAAAAAAAAATCTGAATTATTTAGAAGTGCATGTCTGTAATAGGTTTTGTTTTTTTTTTTTTTTAAAGATTTATTTTTATTATTTTTTTTTTCATTGGAAAGGCGGATATACAGAGAGGAGAGACAGAGAGGAAGATCTTCCGTCCGATGATTCACTCCCCAAGTGAGCCGCAACGGGCCGATACTATGCCGATCCGAAGCCAGGAGCCTCCTCTGGGTCTCCCACGTGGGTGCAGGGTCCCAAAGCTTTGGGCCGTCCTCTGCTGCTTTCCCGGGCCACAGGCAGGGAGCTGGAAGGGAAGCGGGGCTGCCGGGATTAGAACCGGCGCCCATATGGGATCCCGGGCGTGCAAGGCGAGGACTTAACCACTTGCGCCACCGCGCCGGGCCCTGTAATAGGTTTTAGTCTGTGGCTCTAGGTAAGTGTGCAAGGCTCTGAGGAATCCATGCTCATTAGCAGAAAGTTGAAACTCATGTTGCCAATCTTTGCCTAATTAATAGGCCCTTGGCACTCATGTTAATTAAGTTAGCCTTCATTTTCTGAACTGTTATCTTAGTATATTTTCTTGAGAATCAATTGGATTGTATTCAAATCAGTGCCTTAAAACTAGTGTGTGAAATGGTTGGTTGTCAGGTGTTGAAGAGTTGCTATATATGTATCATGTGTCTGTGTATATATGTGACATACATATATGACACACATGCATATATATGTGTGTGTGAGAGACAGAGGGAGAGTTCCCATTGCTGATCTCTCCCCCGATGCCCAGCACAGCCAGGGCCAAACCAGACCATCGCTGGGTGTCTGAAGCTCAAATCAGGGTGTCCCAGATGGGTGGTAAGGACCCAACCACTGGAGCCATCACCAACTGCCTCTCCGGGTAAGTGCTAAGAGGAGTGGGAGTCTGGAACTTGATCCCGGGCATCCCAAAGGCTGTCCTATCCATTGTGCCAAACAACTGCCCCGAGGCTTATTCTTGACATTCTAGAATGCTTAATTAAGGAGACCATCTTAGACACAACCTGCTGTAAAGCCTTCGGTTTACAGATGAACAAATACGGGATACGGTTGTTCAGTGTAGCTTACCCAAGATGTCGTAGTGTGCACGCCTCGTGACTTTTCCTCGCTGCCCCTCGGAGTCACTGAAGGCCAAGTATTGTTTGTTGCTTCTTTTGATCTTGATTGAGGCCACTCTCAACAATTGTGAGTGGGAATAAGTTTGACACATCTCACAGCATCTTGGGAAAACAAGAGGACTCTCTTCTCTTCCTCCTGTGTGAACACTTGTGTTAGCTTCAGAAAAAGACCTGTGCCTGTTGTCCGAAGTTGAATTTCTTCTTTTAGGCACTGGTGGAGCTTGCTCCTCAGTCCTGCACCTGTGTGTTTGCGGGGACTTGGGATGAGAGGCGGTGGGGCTTGTCTGTGCTGCTGAGATGGCAAGGTTGTTGTGGTAGTGGTTTTGAGTTACTTAGTGGCAGCATTATTTTGTTTTTCTTCATAATGCTGATTTACATAGCAGTTTATGAATCAGGAAAGGCCTGGCTGTCCTGGGAAGTATTGACCCTTTGCTCACACTAAACACAAAAGGATGTTCGTTAGAAATGGCTCTTAGACCTAAAGGCGAAGCGACACGAGAGCGTGGACCATGACGCGGATAGCCGTGTTTGTTTTTGTTTTTTTGTGGAGGGATCATCTTTAACTGAATTTTGTTGAGTTTAAACACATTTTTCTTTTTTGTTCAAGATGGAAGTCATTGAGAAAATGAAAAATTTTCAGTATTTTATATTTATCTTTAAGAGTTCTATATAAAATTTATAAATAACTTACAGTATGTGATAAGAAAATAACCTAGTTAAAAATGGAGAACAGACTTTATTATACACTTGTAAAATATATGAATGTCCAATAATTCTCACACGAAAAGCTTCTGAACATTATTCATCATCAAAGAAATGCAGCTTAAAACCACAGCGGGACAGTCCTTGTCCTTCTGAAGAAGGTGCTGACAGTGTTGGGGGTAGTGGGAACCCAGGTGTGGCAGGTGGAGTGTGAAGCTGCATAGATTCTCTAGAGGGAACAGTTTGAAGGCTGGCATTGTGGCATAGGGGGCGAAGCTGCCTGCAATGCCTGCCTTCCGCTCGGGCGCCGGTTCATGTCCTGGCTGCTCCACTTGCAGTAAGGCTCCTTGCGGGGAGCCCAGGAAATCAACAGAAGATGACCCGGGTGCTTGGTCCATTGCAGCCAGAGGGGAGCCCAGGATGAAGCTCCTTGCTCAGCCCTGGCTGTTGTGGTCACCTGAGAAGTGATCAGAGGGATGGAAGATCTCTCTGTCACTCCCTCTATGTCTGTAACTGACTTCCAAATAAGCAATAAATTAAAAAAAAATTTAAGAGAATAATTTAGCAGTTTCTTATAAAGTTAAACATATTTGCTATATAACCTAGCAGTCCTGTTTCTGAGTCTTTACCCAGAAGCTAGGAAGGTCCGTAGGAACTTTGTTCCTAATAACCCCAAACTGGAAGATACCCAGATGTTTATTACCAGCTGAAGGAGTGAACTGTGATACCTGCATAAATTAGAATACTACTGGCAATTAAAACAAAGAGACTGCTGACTGATGGACTCATGTTTTGATGAATTTCAAAAGCAATTTCCTGAGTGCAAGAAGCCACATTCAAAAGAGTGTACTCTTAACAATACTACTTATGTGACACTCTTGGAAACAGGGTGATTGGACAAATGGTAGGAGACCCACATATCCTAGTGCTTAGGTTTGAGTCTGCTCTGGTCCCCACTGCAGCTTCTTGCTCCTGTCCACCCTGGAAGGAAGAAGTGATAGTTCGGGTGGAGTCCTTGCCACCCCCACACACGGGAGACATGGTTTGCATCTGCAGCACCTTGCTCCCTCCCTGGCTCTGACACAGCTGGTGTGGCAACGTGTGCAGTCAACCTGCAGTAGGAACTCTCTGTTTCTGCCTCAGCAAGTTACAATGCCACCTGCCATACCATCATCCATGTGGGCACCAGGTCACGTCCTGGCTGCTCCAGTTCTGATCTGCTTCCCTGCAAGGCAATGGAGAATGGACCTGTTTATTGGGTGTCTGCCACCCGTTTGGGAGACACAGGAAACTCCAGGGTTTGGCCTGGCCCCTGCCTGGTCATTGTGGTTACCTACATCTCTCTGTAACTGCCTTTCGACTAAAATGTGTGTGTGTATATAAATAATGTAGGCTCTGGGGTACTTCTCATCTTAAAAAAGATGGTGAACCATTGGTAAATAAAACACCCGGGATGACACTGGGGCATGCTCTGAGGGTCCTGCTCATGAGTTTTCGGTAGTTCAGCAGTTCTGAATTACTGCTGCTCTTGCCACTGCAAGCACGATAAAATCTCTCCAGAATTCATTGGCTGACATAGTCCACCTTAGAGTCTCCGTTTGCCCAGATATTCACTGCAAGCTCTTGGCTGGGATAGTTGATTGATTTATTCTGTCCTCTGTTCTCTGTTGTGGTACCAGGTGTCCTCTGCAGACTCCAATGGTCTGCCATATCCTCCATGTGCATCTGGGTATGCTGTCCACTGCTCCATATGAGCCACCAAGGAGGCCCAGCTCTGACACATGTGCTCCACAGTTAGACCATGCAACCTGCAATTCTCTCCATGGTTGGGGTTCTGAGTCCAGTGATTCAGTTGGGGGGATCTCCAAAGAAACTTCATTTGAGGTGATCCCAGACCAAATTCTTGCGTGTTCTTGCCAGTACAGGGCTTGGCACAGTCCATCACCCCAATCAGGTAGTGGTTGCAATTGTTGGGTTAGTTGTTTCCAGCCCTGTCTTCCACACGAACCAATGGATGTTACAGTCCACTGGCTGCTCCACATCTAATACACTAGCTCACTGCTGTTGGCTTGGGGAAAACAATGGAAGATGGCCCAAGTGTTTGGCTCCTGCCACCCTTGTAAGATATCTGGAAGAAGCTCCTGGCTTTGGCCTGACTGAGCCCTGGCCATTGTAGGCATCTGGGGAGTGAACCAGCAGATAAAAAGATTTCGGTGTAAGTCTGTAAACCCTCTTCTGTGAGTCTGATTTTCAAAATAAAACTTTTTAAAAAAATGAATCTTTAAAACTACACACACACGAATGAAGGACAGGTGTTGAGTGCCACATCCTACACCTCTGTGTTCCGCATCAGCGTGCTGGTTCAGCTTCTGGCCATTGCATCCTGGGTGGCTGTAAACAGTACCCATGTTGGACACTCCCATGGGTTCTGGGCTCCTGGCTCCTGCCTGACTCCCAGACCTGGCTGCTGTGGGGATTTGGGGGGATGAACCAGTGGGTGGGCATTGTGGGCATTTGGGGGGTGAACCACTGGATGGAAGGTCACCATTTCTCTGACTTTGCTGTTGCTGCATTGCATTCAAGTCGATGAAAATAACTGAATTAAATAGGTAAGATGGTATGAGAAAGCAATTTCATTTTTCTCTGAGGTGACAGAAGGCTCATGGTTTGCCTGGGTTTGTAAGGAGAAGGAGAAATTGAATACGAAGAAGTATAAGAATTTCAGGGTGAGGAGTTGCCTCTCATTGTTGCAGGTTGTACAGGCATGCACACGTCCGTATGCCTTGACTGCACTCGGTGAGGCTTGTTGCATCTAAAGCTCAGTAAAGTTGATTTTTATAAACTTGTAAAATTATGTTTAATTGTTGTAAGCCCAAAGTGATCTTTAATTCAAAACTTATCTCCTTAATATAAGGCTGACAACTACTACAGCTATTAACTTGGGTCTTTCATTCTCAATTCCTGTTCCCCTTTTCTGTCTGCTCAATTTTCAAAGAGAAACAAGATCAATTAATTTCAGTCAAACCATGTTCTTAGACCTTTGAACTGGCACCATTTTACAGCTATGCTTTTCAAAGCCATGAGTGGGTGTATTAAGTTTATGGAACATTCTATGGTTTTTTTTCCTTTTATGTGCAACTGAAAAATGCCCCATTGGGTGTAACAAATCAGAGTAGTTGCCTTTCACCTCCACACTGAAGCACTGAGCTAATTTGGGCTCCAGGAGGTTGGAGTCCAGCTGACTCCGAAGGAAGTAAGCAGAAGGGGGAGGTAGTTCTGTGCCTGATGTGGACAGAACAGCACACAAGGGGGGCCTCTTCCTCCCACCTTCATCTCTCAAAGCCTGGGAGGCTTGAGAAGAGTTCTAGAAGGTGGTCTTTCTACGGGAGGATGCCCTCTAGGCTCCTTCCCTGAGACTTCCTTCTCCCCTGCCCACCCTCACTCATGCCCAGGGTCCTGCCATGCCTAAACCGAGCAATTGAGTGTTTGATTTTCAAGTTCTGCCCCACAGGTGGAGCGCCCCCCCCCCCGCGCCTTTTAACGTTTCTCTTAATCGTAGGTAAGACAGCTTTATATTTTAACCTTAGTAAAAGAGATTAAGTAGGAAAATGCAAACAATCCCCCAACACACACACACACACACACACACACACACACACACACCCCTCTCAAATAGAATGGGCACATTTCCAGATTCTGGAATTCGCTTTGGATTTTGTAAG